CGTGAGGTATCTAAGTGTGACGATGTGAACACAAATACGTCGTCATATTTTTTATAGATCATGGGTACCTAAGTGTGGCGACGAACTTGTAAACCAATCGTCACTTGAATGATGACGCAAACGTGAATCATTCGTCACTCGAATGATGGAGCGAATACTAATATATCTCTGACGACGGTGACGCATTTCTGTCATCACAACACTAACAATGGTGATACATTTTTGTCGTCATACCCGAGTGGAAATAACCTAGACTAAGTGGAAATAACATAATTATGTTATTTCTACTAACTATAGCAAAATCACAAAAATGCATTATTATTGTGTACATGTCCTTCTATACCATGATTTAAATAGGTTAATGTATATTTGCTTACCACATATGCACAGTTATTATCATAGTTCAATCTTCTTTCTTTATTATTTTCTTAAATTTCTACCTACAATTCAGCAAAACAAATATATATAATTCAGCAACTATTCAGTTGTATATCCGTGTTATTTTAATCTTCCACAGGTACTTTTCTAAGTAAAATAAAATCTGACATTAGAAACTAAAAAATTAAACCAAAGTATGCTAAGTATATAATGTGTGAGTGTGAAAATACAATGTGTAAAAAGCTTTAAGTGTAAAAAAAAGACTTTCTATATACTTTTTGTTTTTAATCACGTGTGCAAAAATGATATAATCATATCAGTATAACAAAAAACAATCATGTAATCGTCTAATACTAATAGGTTAATGATGCCCAAAAAATTCTACCATTTTGTATAACTCGAGCTTCCTGAAAATCCAAATTTTAGCTAACTGATGTACTAATTAATATTGCCAGATCATAATTTTGCTATAATACATAGCTTGTATTAGTGCTTCACAGGTTCAAATCTGAATCGTCTGATCAAATTCTGGAAGCTTAGGTTACATGAAATAGTAAATTTTTTGGATATCACTAATCTACTATATAGTTTGGAATTGCTTTTGAAGGAGTTTTACGAGATCTCGGAGCTGTTAAAATAAATAAAGAGAAACTACTCAACTTGGATCAGATTAAGGATAATATAGAAAAACTAAAAGACAAACTTAATAGAGATTTGAGCTCCCTCTATAAACATTTATATTCTGGCATGGTTAAGAAATCTGTTGAAGAATTATCCTGGAAGAATTCTTTGGCAAGCCAAGTTATTAGTGATAAATCAGATATAGTGAAGAATCTTCCTAGGGATATCAAAAAAGGATTTAATGTAAGGAATTTCATATAGGTGTTCGTATTTTTCATCACTATTAATAATGTATATTTCATTTTAGAAAATTTCTCGCAATATAGTACTAGCTCAAAGGCCAATAGTTCAGGAGCTATGTAGAGAGTTTATAAAAGATTTTAGAAGGTGTGATGAAAAATTAAAGTCTAGATAGATGCATAATAAATCTTGGAAAGAGTTCGAAGAAACTATTTCACGTGTTGTTAAAGAAATTTTGAGCGTTCTAAAAAATATTTGGAATACAAGCCTGAAGTCGCAAAAACATTAAATGAAGGAACGTATCAATCAACCGTGATCGTACTATTAATCCAAGTTGCCTTAAAAAATCTTCCCGTAAAAGATTCATTTTTTATCAGTACATCAGAAAAACAAAGTATTGCTAGCACAAATCGAAAAGGAGAGAGGGTAGGGGAAGACGCCCAGATATTATGTTTCTAGGAGATCACCTTAAAATGACATTCGAACTTATGTATGTCGAATGCTCTCACCTATTCTGTAGTTCACAAAAAGACAGATGATAAAATAAAATTATGCCAGAAGGTAAATGATGGCCTTTATTGGGTACGCCAAAGCCTCAATCCAGATAAAGAACAGTTTGGTATTGTAGGTGTTTAAGTAGCAGGAATATATTTTACTTGAATGTTCTTGTTCAAGATAAAATTAATGTACATAGATACTATCATCTTCAACCTGTTGAAATTTCTATACAATTTTTAGCTAAAGGAGTTGTATCTAAATTTATAGAAACTTTATTAGTTTTGTACAATATTTTAATTACTAACTTATCTTTATTATATCATGCACCGGTAGCTACATTAGAACGGCAAAAAGAAGACTTTTCAACTGTAGACACTGACATAGAATAATTTTTATTTATCTTGTAATTTGGTTTATTTTATTTTTATATCAATAAAGTTGGCTCCAGTTGCTCGATTTCTTATACATAATCAGTTTAATTTTGCATATATATATTGATATTGAGTGAATTTATTTTATTGCTCGCATATAATTGAGAATTTTTTTTTCTTGGCAATTTTCCGAGATGGCCTGGAAATTTTTTGGGTGGAATCGAAATAATGATATAAAAAATACCAATACTTATTTACATAATCGCATTAAAATGGCGAGATCACCAGATCATCTCTTTATTTCATAAAAATTGTTGCCCAAACAAACAACAATATACAAATAAAAAAATATAAATAAAAAATACAAATACAAACTTTTGAACATATCTACATCTTATATATAACAATAAGAAACTCCAAATCTGAACTAGATTTCTTGAAATAGGAGAATGCCAGACTTATGGCTAGAATTGCAGAATTGGAACAGATCACAAAAGAAAAAAATGAGCTTGAGGTAAGAATTGTGGAATTAGAAAGATCTGCAAGAGAAAATATTGAGCTTAGATCTAGGGTTGCAAAATTAGAACAAAAGCTATTACAAAATAACTCACGGAGTAAGGATGCTGGAAAGACCGAACAGGTAGATATATTCATTCCAAAAGAACAATCTTTGCTAATATTAGCGGTACGGCCAATGCCTCTTGTAGAACGAATTCTAATGATACACCTAAACAGATCGAAATTAATTCTGATAATATATCTGATTATATTTCAAATTCTGATATATGTCATGAGTCTTGTTATACAACAAAGTTTTACAATTAAACTGGAGATACAACCCAGATGCTAAAACCTCATCCGGATATCTGGATACTTTTAAAATCAGATATCTGGGTGAATCTGAGTTAATTATATAATAAATAAATTAATAAAATTTATTGTTATAAAGGTTACTAATTTAATTCAAATCTTTTAATTTTATTGCCTAATTATAAAATTATATGCTAAAAATATCTATTTTTAATAAAAATCTAAATTATTATTATAATTCTTAAAGAAATAATCTCTATTCTAATCAATAGAATTATATCTACAAAGAAT